AATAGCTTAAACATGCCTTGAAATCACAATTAAAAGCTTTGCTTTGTTGAAATATTATAGGCTTTATTAAAAATATAGGTAGAAATTCAAAATGGTTGTGAAGTACGTTCGTGTGTGTTACTTCCATGTAAGAACCATACGTAGTTTCGCTTGAAGATGATATTTCACCGAAATTGGGTCTTTAATCCGATTTTATGGTAAATGACCGTATGGACCGTATCATTGAAAATATCGTTTTTCTTCTATGGCTTGATCTAATTACTTATCTACTGGTCTATAAAATGACCAACGGATATCTTGCTTTATGATTCTTTGCTTATCAATGTGTAAAATTTCAGATATTGCTGCAAGGAGTAGGTTAGAAAATTTCTAATGTAACATTTCGACAATACACCCACAGGTTAGCGCGATCCAACAAATAGACTCTACTGTTCAACCACAGTGCCTTTAGAATGCCCCCACCCTTTCTCCTCACCGGATGTGTCCTTCAATTCTGATCGGTGTATTCTCCACAACGTCCTCAACTATTGGAATTTGATCAACTTTCCTTATTCCAGATCATTGACTGCATCCATGGCGTATGGACAGACAAAGACGAACTTTTTAAAACACCATCAAACTTGTTAAATAACAACCTTGAAGTTGGGCACATGACAGAAATAAAAGCTATTATCCAAACAGACATTTTTAATTTAAGAAAAATAAGCGGATATAAATGACAGTTTATTTGGCGTAACAAGACGTATCCTGGAGGTAGTCTTTCAATGAATGTTTAACGTAGCGTGGAAATTGTATATTTTCATTTTAAAGAAATTCTATTTGAAGTAAACACGAAAGAAACGTAGTGATTAACTGCCGATAGTTGAGTTGCACTTGCCTTTGGAACTGTGTTTTTGTGAATGCTAAATGCTAATAATGCAACTAGTTACTGTACCAAAAAATAGTCTGTCGTTTTTCGGTACTTGCAATAGTATTCATAAAAAAGCCCGGACATCTAGCGTGGGATCGTTTCCCACTTTCTCACTTAATGGGACTTGAATCAGATTTAAATCGTCAATATTTCACTTCTCCTTTCTTACCTTTACAGATGACTTTGGTGCAGCTGATCGCTGTAAAATATGAGCAAGATAACAACTCTATAATTCGTTTAATACTTGTCGCATCTCTATCATGAGAAACGATTCGAAGAATAATTTTGTCAAGTCATGTATGGCGAGTACAGAAATAACATATCCGAACATGTAGACGAGAATTTTTATTCTATGAAAGGACAACTAAGTCAAATACTGCCTGGGATGTCTTTAAAAAGTTCAAACCAGTACCAAAAAAACACAGATAGACAAATACTCGCGTTTTTAATGTTAAACAATTGAAACATTATTCCTGAAAATGTCAACATTGATTGACACCAAAATATGAAGACAATCGACCAGCAAAAAATGAAAAAGCAACAGTTGTTGGCTTAAGAAATCAATAAGAAAAACATTTCTTACAATCAAATAATATTAAATGATAGGTTAATATATGAATACGTCTTATAAGTTTAATGGGGATACTTCTAATATATAGGTGGAAACTCTTTCAGCTTCAGCTTTTCATTTGTCTGTGGGCCTTGAGGTTTCAGTTTAAATCAAACGTGTATGTGTGCATGTAAAAATACATTTACTTGTAATGCAACCACTAGACTGATGATTAAATTGCATTTCTGGAGTGGTTGGTAAAATCTCTTTTACAAGAATAAACGTGTGGCTTATGGATATTATTTAATCAGTTAAGTTAATAAAATCATCAAATTTCCCTTGTAATTCATTAAAACGCCATAATTACTTTACCACCGCCATTTATTACTGTCATACTACACGAAACAAACGGTTACTGTCAATTTACGGAATCGATAAAAGTAAGATTAGACTTAGATTAAACGACACGAAATAATCCAAACACAATTAAATCGCATGGTTATCTGTAATAATCAATGTCTTTTAATGGATCCAGTAATTACTTTATTTGACTAAATATTCGTTTAAACAATCTTTCGTCTCGATTTTATAACCAGCTGGCATGTTTTCATGGATCCCGTCGTCTGCCGAGTCGGGCATGTAAGTGAATGGCAAACATATTACTACACTTTACAGATACAGTCTTGTGTGGAGTTGATTTTCTTCCCAACCTTGGAAGCTGAATATCTTTCCACGCGATTGGCCTTGAAATAAGTCAATTAATATCAGATTATTAAGAAATCAAATTATCTTGAGTGATTGTTTATTTGTTCCCCGAACAATCCTGATGGATTTCGATTGCTTTTCAGTTTATATTAGCTGACGTATACACAATTGGAAAGCGTTTCGCAAATTTCTAGGATATTTCAGAGGCATACTTTTAGCTTCTTTTTGTAATATATGTATGTACAGGTATGACGTTTGTATCGTTAAAGTTTAAATCTATGTCCGAACCTTTACCGACAACAAATACCGTGTTTTCTTATTAGCACTTCGTCATAAAATCTCAGGAAATTGAACTACGATGATGCAAATTGTACCACAACCTAACTCACTTGTGTTCGGAAAGCTATAACTGATCCTTTGTAAACCTTATAAACTGTTCCTTAACGGCTTTGATGCATATATGCCGCCGTCGGACTTTTTCTACGTTCACCTGTATTTCACCAGTGTCATGATAGTTTGAAACTACTATTAAAACTTTCTTCTCTGCCGTTTGATTACGTCTGGGGTAAGGGTTATAATAATAATACAAAAATGGGAATCACAGTCACTTCCGGTCGAGGAACGTTCTGTAATTTCGGTAAGTTTGTATTATTAAGATTATCGTTGATTGCCAAGGGACACTTCATCTGAATTACAATCTGACAGGACATTTAAACGCTGTTAGGAAGTTATGAGGATTAACAGAACATCACGTCCATTAAAGTATCCGGTATCGTTTGCAATCAGGCAGCCCAACCCTCTTTACGCCCACTGATTAGGTATCGATGAGTATTCAAATATCAAGTTAAGAACTATTATAGAATGACTTATTATCAATGAGTTTCAGCAATAATAATCATAACTACCAGTTTAAATAAATATTTCCCTTCTATTAAACTCACTAGCACTGAAGGTCTTGAAAGCACGTCCCAGGAAATCAGAGACAAAAACTCCTGAAATGAACTGTAAATAGAGTGTTTTTATTAGTTATGATATTAAATATTTGATATTTATTAGCTATTGGGTAGATTCTCGAGAAGTTATTAAATTGTCAGCTTCAAACGTCCGGGCGGTAGGAACCAAATTCTGTACACGGAATCTTATATTTCTGCTTTGTCATTTTCGTACATTGACGAAAGGCCATATCTAAATCTGACCATAGCCTTCATTGCATATAACATTATGTAAACGGAACAGTCCTAGAGCACATTCAAAGTAGGCCTATGGTATAACCAGGTGTCATGAAAACATTTCAAAACTGTTATTGATGTCGTGTGCCGCCTGGAAGAATGATCCAATACCCCGCACTGTTTCTAGTTTCTGTTTCTACTTGCTATATCTTACCAAGAAAATAAACATAAGAAAACAAAAGATATTGATAGAAGACAGTACGGGGTGGAAGTAATTTGTTAAAAGGAATTAATTTATTGTGGACGTATTGTAGAAGCAGTTAATTACCGTTATAACCAATATTTACTCTTCTCCATTCGGTTTATTTTTATTTAAGTCACTATAGACCATATTGTTACAGTGTATTGTTAATTAACCGATTTTAATCCAGGGAAATCTTAACCTTTCATTAAATACATCATTAATATTTAAGCTGTTAGGATTTTTTTTATACAGTATTCTGGTAGCCCGAAGCTTCCTTTCCCTGAGAAATTGTGTGTAGACTGGAGACATCTTGATATACCATTCCGCAATATTCTACTAAGCAGAGAACTGGTGCTAATAATCAGGGTAAAAAATGCCTATAGACGAGGTCGTCTGTATCGATAAGTTCTCATGGTTTCGAGCACTTGATGCCTTTCTATTTAGGTTAAGTGGTTGACGACGATACCAATCGACGCTCGAAAATGCACTTTCGGTACCATTTAGGTGTTTTCTCTCGACTACGTTCTTTTTCCGGAAGATAAATTAATAATCTGATAAAACTTATTGTATTTAAAAGATACTCTATAGTAATATAGTAATAGTTGCATCAAAGATCCTTCTAAATACGTGAAATTTTGTAAGTAAAGTAGGGACACGTACAAGACTGTTTTTAACATATTTGAAATAATGTTTATAACCGTTAACTTATGAAATAATTTCGTTACTTATATAGCGTGAGGGTTAACTGTTCTGGTTACTTTTGGAGAAATTCTAATTGTAAAAGAGTCTTTGTTTCGTGGTATACTATCGTGCTATAAGGTTGATTTCTAGCACGGATAATGAAATAATCTTGTTTTGTAAACCGTTATGTTTGCGTCAGTTGTTAAAGGTTCAATCAAAAGTTCAGTTGATAAAACGGAAGAAAATCACAATCTTCGAGATCCATTTGAATAATTCTGATTATAGAATTTCTAGTCTAGAGATGTACTTAGTATAATTATAGTTGTTGTTTCCATTGATTAAATTACTAAAATGGTTTGTGGGCATGGTTTATAGACTAAACTCGTATCTTAGACAGACGTGTGATCATCGCATTCTTTAAACCGATTGATAATGGATTTCGTAAGTAATAGCCGATACGACGGCCTTACAATCGTTATTCTAAAATCAACATCAGATTACATGAGCAAAATCAGGATTGAGGCCTGAACACAGCCAATAGCTGTGGGGGACACCAAAATCAAGGCCCCTGTGAAAAGCCTTTTTGTGATAATTTTAAACTGAAGCGGTACATAAAACATCAAAACCGTGACCAAGCATAAGTTATAATTTAACATTTTAATTGCCACAAAATGTGTCATTGTTCTTTTTTACTTACGGATCTTCCTTTTTCTACTTTCAGTTTATTCAGAAGAAGAAGTGTCAGACACCAAAACACACGATGATTCTTTATCCCGAACAAAACGAGCGGGGTTGAATATGTTACGATTAGGACGTGGCCTTCAAATGTTGCGAATGGGTAAGCGAGCTGATTTTCCAATGTTACGAATGGGTCGATCAGAACCACAGTACACGACAGACGAAGACGATGCCATCCGACAATTAATTATAGACATTTTAACCCAACAAGCAGCTGATAGAGATTATTTTTATCCCGAATCTTACCCTTATCCACCCCCTCAACCACGATATCGCAGATCGGTCTCAGAGTTCCCACAAAAAGAAATTGACATGCAAGATCTTCAAAAAATCACAGAGGGTGGAGAAGAAGAAATGAAACAACAGGAAGCTGAAAATTACCCAGAAATTGAAGGATATCCAGTTTTTGCTGATGATGTAGAATATAAAAATGAAGACGAAAAGCGACCAATGAACATGCTTCGTTTGGGCAAGAGACCAATGAACATGCTTCGTTTGGGCAAGAGACCAATGAGTATGCTCCGAATGGGAAAACGACCAATGAGTATGCTCCGAATGGGAAAACGACCAATGAGTATGCTTAGAATGGGAAAACGACCAATGAGTATGCTTAGAATGGGAAAACGACCAATGAGCATGCTTAGAATGGGAAAACGACCAATGAGTATGCTCCGAATGGGAAAACGACCAATGAGTATGCTTCGAATGGGAAAACGACCAATGAGCATGCTCCGAATGGGAAAAAGGCCAATGAGTATGCTACGTATGGGCAAAAAATCTGACGAAGACCATTCCATAGAAACCAGAAAAATCAACATGTTAAGACTGGGGCGTAGTGATTAACTTTGTCCGGTGCTTACCAAGCTTGACTTGAAACAAGTTGAGATATTCCAAAATACCAAAATGTTGGATCCTTTCCATTAGTGCAATAGACATCTTATGCGTCCCTCATTAGTTATAGGATGTGTAAAAGTCTCATATCTTTAACAGCTGTCAAATTCATTATTTATTTCAAAGTTTATAAACTATTATTGTGATAAGCATAATCCAGCAATTATTTCCATCCCAAGCGAGAAATTAACAACTCTAAGGTGATCTCTTCTGGCAGTTTAACCACATAGCGGATTTGATAACTGTATTTAAGACCATTTGTTTAGTTTTATCGTCGATCTGTGAATTCAATTCAAAAACAAATTCTCGAAATCTTAGTCGCATCTTTGAATGCTCGCAAGATATCGTGGGCTTTTTAACAATTTTAAGAGGAGGAAACTCAAATCTGTGTGGGCGGCAAGGGTATGTCACTCTTTCAAGTGTAATCTGAATGCAGAAAACCAAAGCAACAGTCCCCGACATCGTAAAGAACTTCAGTTTACTAGTTACCATAAATAAATGGATTGCATATTATATTAGACGCTTAAACCACAATGCTCTGCGTATATCATTTAAATACGGTACTTATATTAGGTGCAGTTCAGAGTTGCATCAACCAAAATCAGTGGCGGAGCTAAAGGGGGGGCAGAGGAGTCAATACAAAAACCTGATAACTTGGTTAGAAATTCAGGCAATCTCAGATATTTCACCCCGCTCGGACGTAAACCTGGCTCCACCACTGACAAAATTCGATACAGAGAGTCATTTACTACTTATAATAAATAAGTTATTGAATTGGTATTACGTATACAATTGTGACATAATTAATGGAATTTACTAAGTCTATTGTTTCTTTCCGGCGAGTTAGTATCAATTTCACCTTCAATGCAGTCATTGGCTTGGACATTCCCAATTCATTGAGTTACCCAATGGTATAAATTAATTGTCTGATAACATTGTTGATTGATAAGTCTAAAAACAACCGAGACAGCTTGCAACAAGCGGAGCAGTAACCATTTAAGCAACACACTTTTAACCAGCTTATTGCACAGATTATTGCATAGAATGAGTTTGACGTTGACGAAACCGAATACATTCCACGGGAACTAAGTAACACATTTCACCATTGAGCTAAACACCGCTCATAAATCAGCGGATATTGACAATTGTGCTGGAGTGGATACAGCCTGTAAATTATAGCTGAATGATAAAGTATTGCAAGTCATGACTTTTCTGACCTTTATTGACATAAGGAACGGTACTATAGTCAACTATTATTCTTGATAATTCACGCTTTTAGAAACTCTGGTGTCATTTCAATGCTCTAATCATACGAGTAAACATTTCTTCTGAACAATTTATTTCAAGCCGCCAACCATGACCTTTTAAAAAGAGCATTATCTAGTCTGTATGCTGTTCAATTTTAATACAGGGTACTTGGTACAATAAGGGAAAGATATTTATTCACGTCCGGGAACGCTTCTAATCATGAACAGAGACATTCTAATATATTTAGCGATAGTTTAAGTACATGCGATACAAGTCTTACCTCGTAAAACTTCAGTCATCATTTATTCTATCCTGAAAGTCCCTCATATTCATCGACGGAAGCGTTTCCGGTTGCTCATAAATATTGCTATTCCGGTTATTTTTCGGTCCTAGATCTTACACCCACCATTTATTCTAGATGATGTCCATTATATCTTATCATTTGAATCAAAATGAAATACTGTCAAATGTCATAATAATTTGCATTTGAACTTCAACCCCATTCCGACAAAAATGATATGGTCAGTGATATTTGTCACGCAATATTGAAACTGTGGTATTAATAAATACGCATTAAGCCGGAGAGCCACGTACTTGTACGGACAATTCCAGAGCCAAACAATATAGAATATATTATTTATAGTATGTATTTATTATTTAGAAAGAGTTACCGCCCTGCACAATATCAATATTCACCTCGTTAACCCACAAAGCAATAATGTTGGTATTGTCAAGGACAATAACTCTTGGTAGTTACGGCGAGAGAACAACAATGGTGTTTTGTACAATATGAAGATTATGAAAATAAATGATTTTAATTTTTTCAGATTATTAGTTTCAAAAATTATTGTCAGCTTGTAATTTGATAAGGTAAATAAACACATGGGAGGATCCACATGAAAACAATGATGATGATTATTTCAAAAAGTCCGAAAGAACGTTGAAACAGAATTCTCTTAAGGCAATTCATATACTAGAATGGGTCTTTCTAGCATGTCAATTGATATTAACAAGCACTACTTGTTGCATTACTCCCCGCAATTGCATTGGATCTTTAGCACTTACCTCGTACGTTGCACAGTATGTTTGTACAGCTCAAACTTTCTTGGAGAGCGCTAAAGCTTAAAGAGTGCAGTTCCATAACACTCTTACTTTCTGAAGTTCCACATTTTATTTTAGTACTTGAAGAAGTGAATATAAAAATCAATAACCATTCCGCTAGATTTGCAATGTAGACGTACTTAAGTTTTCAATGGCAAAGTGGCAACGCATATAATACACCGCTTCCGTAAAAAGTTCATCTACACCTAAATTCAAATAAGAACCGACACTCTGTGCTCAAGAGAGGAATTGAAATTGATTCGTCTTACGGGTCCACAAAACGCCATGCATTTGCCAAGACACGGTATCAACCTGCTCTTTATCGGTTTGCCACTCTTGAGGGAGTTTAAGTCTGCAAAGCCTGTAGCAGGTGGTATTTGAACGTCAGTCCCTACAACCTGCACTGATGGCACCGAGTTAAAATTCCAAAGGTATATCTCGACCTACAATAGGATGGGACTCACTGAGACGCTGCGACGTTTCTTTTCAAATCAATTGTTGGTTATTTCTCGTTTCGAGTTTTCCAGACTGTCTCTGCACGATCCCGACTGAAAACTTCCCAACTAACAGATCAATACAGAAGATAGACAGGAAATAGAAAGATTTAAAGTTAACCATAAAATGTTAAAGGTTTAAAAACAGTTAATTTCCGTCTCACACCACTCGTTTTTTTTTATTAAAGAAACATCACTGTCTCAAACAGTTTAACTCTTTCAACATACATTTGTTGTCTTGAGACAGTGGAATTGGCCCATAATTAAGTGACAGTTAGCATTGACACAGTAATTAAGATTTCTCGTAAAGAAAGAAAAAAACAAGAAACAACATTTTTGTTTTATAACTACCTAGGTTCTCGAAGATACTTTCTACCAACTGGTCCTTAGCTATACCTCTGGACACACTTTTCGTCTAAGAACATTTATACACCCAAATACAAGACAGGTACGGGACACAGGGACATATAGCCTTATAATTATCTACATGAGGTCAAGGAGTCTATGTCAAATCTGCAAATATATTACACTCAATTGAAAATTTTTTCGTTCTTTTATACCATTTCATTGTCCATCTTTCTGTACATTAGAAATACATTCAGTACAATAAATTGAATTATGAGCTCGATTATTGTCACACGTGATAACCCTTCGACTTTCCCTTGAACATAGAACTGTTATGCAATATTTCGAAAGAAAAAAATTAACAATCATCATACAATATACCAGCTTGTCTCTTTACTTTTCTTCACATTGTGCAAACAAGTAGGAAACGTAAAACTCCATTCATTTCATTTAATTTTGTCTTTTTACTTGCTGCTCCTTTTATGTGAAATCCAGCAGTAGTTCCACGTGTCAAAAGCCACTCTGTGCACCTTATAACACCCCTACAGATTATGTTTCCTGAGAAGTCGTTAACAGTTCTAAATAGAACTTTCAGATTTGTTAAAGATACTATGAAAGCTTCTATGTTGTCGAATTTTAAAATTTGACGAAAACAAGTCGGTATTTTAAATAAACAAGAAATCTCAAAGGTTTGTGCTTTTCATTGGTGCTCATGGAAGTGCTAGGATTAACCCATCCAGAGTAATAATACCAACTTGGGTATCGCAGGTTTGTCCTACTGTTCGGTACGGTATTGGTTTATCGATATAGTAGAAAATAAGAGAAGCGAACAGACGAGGTATGGGTCCGGTAACGATGCGGACACATTTTGCGTCTTATGCTCCGTATTTTAATGGCAATCCGCACCCTAAGCTGCAATGAACACCATACCAAATCTATTCGCATCTTAAATTTTATACAATAATTGAAAGCACTATAAGATAACTGCAATCAGGTTTTACTGAATAATACTATTAAAACCTGTAGTAAAATGACGCGTGTTTAATTTCGTATGAAATTCTAAAACTGTTATCAAATTCTGCTCTTAAAAGATCACATTATCACCAGAAAGTCGACATGTAAGTAGACCTAACGCCACTTTCAGACTGTTCATTATTGCAATGTAAATTTCTCCCATTCAGCTACGAAACAACCTTTCAGATTGGTTGACAGGTCGATGTATTCAGTTGCACGATTTAGGACTCCCGAATGACTTTTCAGTGGCAGTTGAAGAACCATTTACAAATCTTAGAAATACATTATTTTTTAACAACGCTTTTTTTTACACATTAAAATATAGCAGTTATCATTAGGAGAGATGTGTGCAAGCACTTGCAAGAATTGGTTCATATATCATATTATTTCAACTTTTATTTCAATGTACATACAACAGTGGTGATTGTAGTTTAAGACCGGATATACTGAAATTTAGAAGTCAGGTTAATCTGACCTCTGATCGCAAATTATTTGTGTTTTGTAACCAGTTTTTGTCCATTTATATGCCGCTTAAATTTAACACTTGCTTTCATAACAGTGAAAACTTTTTGTTCCATACGATTTCAAGAGGCCTTTAAATCTTTGCAGAAGGCTACCTCTCGTCATCTATTTTTATAGAAACCAACAGCAGACTTTTTCTAAAATTAATTTTTGATTGGTCAAATGTTAAGTTAATAATGACAGAGTAGCTGTTAGTGAAAATTGACAGATTAAATCAAA